ATCCATGAGCATCTTCAGCTGCACGTAGGTTGCGACTTGAGTTAACGCCATAGATGTGATGGTGGTAATATTGTGATCCTGCAGGTGCAATCGTTGAATGAGCCTTTGAAGAGAATGAGCAATCCGTTTTGGGGCGCAAAATATTTACGACTAACGAGGCGCGCATAGCATAAATATTCCTCTGCCTCATTTCCATACGTTCTCTGCGGATCTTTCCTCCTTTCTGTGCCACAGATTCTCCACGTGGTATTGTGTGCGAGAATCTGGAAATTGGATTCGCTGTGAAGGGATGGTCCAGCACCGGCCCGGGAGTCGGTGTAGGGGCAGGCAGAGACGATTCTTCCATCCGCTTAATTTCTCCAGCGGGCGAACTTTGGGGATCGTCAGAAATCTGGGCATTATTCCTAGCCACGCTGGGGGTGGGCAGTGCTAACCGGGCTATGAGTGGCCCAACCCACCTACGAGAACTGGAGCGGCCCATTGGAGAACGAGCCTTGCTCGGCGACTGAGATTTTCCAGCCGGATCATCTTCGCTGGCAGAGAGAATCTGATCAGGCTGGGTGCTCCTGCGGGAAATTGACTGTGGAATGATAGCGAGGACGCCGTCGTCACGCAGGCCAATGTTTGCGTCACCTTCACCGTCTGATCCCGAAAAATCAGAAACATCGGCACCATCGCTAACATGCGTGCGAATTAGTCCCGGGCCGGGAACGTACCCAAGATCCCTTCTGCTGCTCGATGGAGAAAATTCTTGCGAGGACCTTGGCTGCTGGGGTGACGAGAGACTGGCCCGTGAGACTCCAGCTCTGGGCAGATGCCGGATGCCAGATAACGATAAATGGAAACCTCTGTGATTGATTCTCCGTGAAGCTTCACGGTCGGATGAACTGCGGGGGGACATGTCCCCTACAGGTGGTTGCATTGAAATCATGTAAACCTGCTGTCCTGAACTTGATGGGGATGGTGACGTAGAAGGTCCATAGAGAGGAAGGTCCACAGAGCCAGGGTAATCATTGGCCCAGTGGTCTTCTAAATCCTGATCTCTCTGGACGTACTCTGACACAGCTTGAGCGGTGACATGCCAGTCGACCATTTCCTTCCGGCTATGGAGGGGCTGAAGAAATTTCAGATAAAGAGTAGCGAGATGGGGCAACCATTGAAGCTGGTGCGACTCGACAGCGTACGGGGAAGGTGTCTGCGCCTCCTCAATTGTTCTCAACGGAACAGGTGCACTAGCAGAAGTGCGGCTCTTCAGGGGTCCAGAAAGGTGCGTACTTCCAGTAGGAAGGACAAGCCGCGGACTAATTGAGCGGCGGAGTTCGAATGTAGTTCTGCGCCACTTTATTACATCAAGCAAGTTTGGGGGTCGTTCGCGTCGAGCAATAGCGGAATAAATCAGAGTATAACGATGTTCTAACTGAGCTCTCGCTGCCTGGGCACGTTCAATAGTGCTTGGGCGAAGTGCCTCGCGATATGCACGAATCCTGTTTTCTGCAGATCGGTTATATATTAGCACACATCGAAGGGGTGAAATTCTCACCGGCCTGTAGATAACACAATGCTTGACCGGTGTCATCAGAATGCTGAAAGGCTATCCCTTCCTTGTGCCTTCCGGAGACTTTCTCCTTGATCCCCAAGAAAAGATCGCCCAAATGACGACGATGGGTCCCTTGTCGTAATTTGGGTGACTCAGAGGCAAAGAATAAGTTACTGTCAACAGGTCCAAAATCTCCGGCTTTAGATATGAATGCATTAGTGGGAGGCCTGGTAGGCTCAAAAGTTTGCCGAGGGGAAGGGGGCGTATTTATCCATGCAGATTCAACTGCAGTCAAAGAGGGTGGAGAAAGGGTTGGAAGGGCAGCGGGATTAATGCTTTCAACACGCCGGTGCAATTCCGCGATTTGTGCCTGAAGGAGAGGGTCTACACTACGTTAATATAAGGAGAGATGAGCAGGACAGTTGTGTAGCGCACCATTGTGAAAGGGGTCATCAAGGAGACCAAGGCCAAAATCAACTGGCCAGTCATTCCATCTTCCGCTAGATCTGCGGGACTTCATGCGCCGTTTCTGCCCTTCGGGAGTGCACGGAGAAGACGGGGTATTCGGCTTCCCCTGCGAAGACATTGTTCGAGATCGGTCAACACTCGCAATAAGACTCCTGTTAGACTTCGCAACAGTGCCGAATGACCCGGGTTCGGGGCTTCCTCTCATTGAGCTGTCCTTCTCTCCCGACCCAAGAGACCGTGAGGAGAAAGCAGTTATTTGTGAATGCTGGCTGTGATGACGACGTGACGCCTCGGCCGATGAGCGGCTTTGTTTTTCTGACCTAATAACAGTGGGCTGCCTCCCAACATCCGCCATGGACCAGCCTGATTCTATCCCTATGGGCTCCAGAACGTTTGGAGCTGGGTATGCGATGACTGGTAGGCTTGTTTGCCAAAATAAATGACAGCCCACTTTGGAAAGAGTTCGGTAGCCACCGATTGAATTCCCTGAGATCCACCATGGTCAGCGTTCTCCATCACGGAATCGGATATTTCTGATATTTTGTTATGCAGCCCCCCAAATCAAAGAATTCTGGGCTGGGTCGTGCCATTCTAAACAAAAGAGCAAAAGAAGTAAAAGAGAAGCGTTTGAACAATGTACGCCGAGTCCGACCGTTTTTGCCAGCGAGGACGCTGCATCTCATCCAGTCAAATTTCACACCAGTCTGAAGACGACGTTAATCACCGCAACAACCTGCAATCAATTACTCAAGAACGAGATTTGGATGAATTCCTGAATACTGCCCAACTTGCTGCCACCGATTTCACTGCTGGTGAGCAGCCTTTGGACAGCACATAGCACTTGGGCTTGAGCCTTATCTGCAGAAAAGCGAAGCATAAACATCATTACAGCACCTGGCCTCAAGAAGTCCTCCGCAGCTAACCCCTTCCTCCTTTCCCTGGATGAAGAAAAGGTCGTGCTACAAAAGCATGCGCAGTTTCAGCAAAACCTTCGGGTCCCTAGACGACCCCCTTGGTCGAGAAACATGACACCCAAAGATATTGATCGCCAAGAAAAGGATGCTTTTCTTGATTGGAGAAGAAATCTGGCAGAGTAATATCATTTGAATTCCCATCCGTGACTACGTCGCTGACCCTAGACGATTAAAGGCTTCAAGAAGCACACGACCTCCTTCTCACACCATTTGAGCGCAATATCGAAGTTTGGAGGCAACTCTGGCGTGTGCTGGAGCGATCTCATCTCATCGTCCAGATTGCCGACGCGCGCAATCCGTTGCGATTCCGTTGTGAAGACTTGGAGAAATACGTTGATGATGTGGAGGGACCAGAGGGTGAGATGGGTACGGGTAAGGGTTTGAGGCGTACACTGCTGCTGTTGAACAAGGCAGATTTGCTCACTGCAGACCAAAGGTGATTCCACTGATGTTGTTTGCCTAAATGCTCATGGGGACCTTGGTTTCAGATTGAAGTGGGCTGAATACTTTGAAGAGAACAAAATTCGATACGCCTTCTTCTCGGCTGCCAATGCAAATGCCTCACAAGAAGCTCGACGCGCCGCTCAACTGCAATCTGCAACAATACCATCCAGAAATGATAATACCCGCACGGAGGGATATGAACACAAGGGCAACAGTAAACAAGGAAATGGGAATATGATATTTCAGGAGAAAAGCGACAACGGGGAGGCGAAGTCTCAGCCAACTGTTGATGATGTAGATTCTGATGCGTCACACACGTCGGATGTAGTGGGAGCCGCCAGTGATGACGAGTCAGAGGGATATTTGGGAGACATCCCTGCGTGGGCCCGAGCAAAGGCAGAATCGGAGCTTGAAAATCAAGACCCCCGTGCTCGAGTGCTTTCGGTGTTGGAATTGGAAGAGTTATTCATTACATCTGCCCCGGACTTGCGAAGTGAGCACACGGTCTAAGTTCTTGTAAATTCTGCCCTAATATCCTTTGCTACAGGTTTTGCTCAGAACAGTGAATCACCTCACAAACTTGTGGTTGGCTTGGTAGGGTATCCTAACGTCGGGAAATCGAGCACCATCAATGCTCTCATAGGCGAGAAAAAAGTGTCTGTCTCTTCCACTCCTGGGAAGACCAAACATTTCCAGACTATCCATCTCTCTCCTTCCATTATGCTCTGCGATTGTCCCGGTCTAGTCTTCCCTCAGTTTGCCACCACCAAGGCAGAACTGGTCTGTGACGGTGTACTGCCGATCGATCAGCTAAGGGAGTACACTGCACCAGTAGAGCTCGTGGTCAGGAGGATATGGCCCGAGGTTTTGGAAGGCATTTATGGTTTGCAGATACGGCGGAAGGGCGAGGACGAGGGAGGAGACGGAAAGATGATACATGCAGATGATTTGTTGAAGGCTTATGCAAGTGCGTCTTTTGAACCCCGAACCCGATTCTCAACGACATAATCGTGCATACCAACAGTTGCGAGAGGATTTTCCAGGTCAGGTCAAGGAAATCCTGACGAGGCTCGTGCGGCGCGCTACGTACTCAAGAATTACGTTGAAGGCCGACTTCTGTTCTGTCATCCACCACCCAGAGCGTCGGGAGAAGAATTTAACACTGCACAGCAACAATTTGCTCTTGATGCCCTTGTGGCAGCAAGTAGGAAGCGTGCGCCTATCACCCGAGTTGGGAAGAATGCAGATACCTACGTCGACGTATCGGGGTCAGGGCTGCACAAGGCAACACATGCAATCGGTCAGAGCCAGAAGTCGCAACAGATTGATGCAGATTTCTTCAGTGCAGGAACGGGCTTGTCTGATCGACCACGTGCTACTGGATCGGGTAGACCTGGCACTTTGGGCCCTGGCTACACGCGGACGATGCTATATCCTCATCAGAAGCTCATTGGAAATGATGGACGACCTATCGAAGGACCCCTTGTTGTACAAGTCTCATCGGGCAAAAAGCAGTTTAAGAAAGGGAAGAAGCACGTAAAACACAGGAGCGGGAGGGGATACGATTAACAGATGGAAAGGTGACTGTAAGCGTGAGGGCGTAAACCTCCAGCAATCATCCCATGTCAGTGGGATGAGGTAGTGGTGTTGGACTGTCATCCCATGTTACAACCTTGCTGTCGGTGTCTTCCGTTCCATGGTCTCGGCGACGATGGGCACCCAGGCGAATGCGACTTGGGAAGAGACGATGGCAGTCTGATTTCCTGGGGTCAGTTGCAGTGAACGTAATTTTCTGAGGCTGAATGCTACTGGCCGTTCATCGTGCAAATGAATATGGCGGTCCTGGTGCATGGCAATCTGCTCAATTGGGCATATGGCATGAAATTATGTGAGCGTACGATTGAGGGGTTGCTCTGGTTCCAACTGCGCCCTGGATGCTTTCGATAGTAGCATGAGCTATGGGCAACTGACGTGTGATTCGATGAAAGCATTTATCAGAGTTGGCGCTTACGGTCGGGAGACACAACCACCCCCTGCATCTTCCTCACACAAACCTCAGTCTGCGAGCTCGCCATAGATGTGACAGCCGCGTGTCCAGTGGCAGTGCAGTGACAAATTGGCGCTCTCACGCTCAGAACGCACACACTCCGCACCTTGGACAACCACTATGTGGGCCTTTATAATGAGATAGGAGCTATCGCGTGTAACTCAGTCTCGTAATGGAGAACTAATATTAAGATATTTTACCTATCGCGCATAACTGTAACATGAAAATACAATGAGTTATGCGCAAACACAGATAGGAAAGAAATGGTATCACCTCAGTCTCGTAATGGAGAACTGAGGGAGGGAGAAAAATTACGGCGTCCAGCGTAACTTATACGACTGGAGCCAATATCGCTCAAAGCGATTGCCAGTGACAACTGGCGATATAAGACAAAGAAAATTGGGAGCGCATGGTATCGCGACTCTGAAACAAAAGGTATAGTCATTGTTAGTCATGATGATATTAAGTTAAAGTAAAGACTCCCCAATCCACACTGCAGCTTGGCTGTTGTCGATGAGTGTTGATATTCCAACACTTTATAGGGGGGACCTCAGGACATTTGCATGGGGCTGTCAGGGCACGCCTTCGGGTCACTAGCATAAGTAGCACATTGCCACATGACCCATATCTCCATCAGCTTCTACTTCTTTTCTTCTTCTTCTTCATCTCCAATCTGATTCGATCTGCAGCTGTCGGTTATGATGCCGCATGATCTTCTATCTTTCTTGATCCGATACTACCAGTTATTAGCTAGTTGACTAGTTACCGCCTCTACCATGTATATATGACCATGTGCTGGTGTGGGCATGTCCCCCAGCTTTGATATCAATTAGGTTTCTGGGGCATCCTTTGTTGCAAGCATGCATGACCCTGACAGGGGCCTAAAAGGCCTTTTTCACCAGACTTGGATGACAGACTAGATGAATCAATAACTATCCTAAAAGACAGTCAAACCATGAGATACCTAGGGGCCCAATGTGGGAACAAACCCAATCATAAAGACCCCTGGCCCACAATCATAACAAACCCCTCACCCAATGGAACAAAACCCACCCAACCATTGTGGGTAGATGCCTTATCATCCAAATGACCATTGGGGGAATGACCCAATTCCATGCCTGGTGTCAGGGTACCAAGCTGCTCAGACTCTAAGTCGAGGGATCCTGAGCCCCCGCCAGAGCCGAGGCTGAGGGGGACAAGGTCAGTCTCAATGGGGGAACCCAGCAAAGCGGATTGTGATAGGGATTCCAGCTGAGCAGCAAGGGGAAGTGAGGACATGTCATTTGTATATACTATGTACAACATACCTGAGCAGCGAGGGGAGGTGAGAGAAGAAAGTTATTGTCATGAACCTCTTGGTGCTAACGAGCATGGGGATGGAATGGAGTGAAGTGAGAGTTGTGAGATCACAGGAAGCAAGATCACGAGCCAGAAGATCAGAAGATCACATGAGGTCAGCAACCTGTGTTGACCAGTTGAAGAATCTGTCTTCACTGGTCAACTCCTTATATACTGTACATGAAAACAGGCTAAGACATGCAAGATGAAACAAGAAAACAAGAGAGACATCCGAGTCATACAGGTAGTTGCAAAGCTACATGAATTGAGATGGAACTGAAATAGGCAAGACATGTGAGACGTCCATTTGGGGTTACAGCTTAACTGTAACACTACCTTCCTTCTTTCCAAAAATGCGAGGCCCACATCCTCAAGGCCCTAACCAAAATAGTTATCAAGGAGCCAAGGGAAAATGTACTTGCATTTGCCACAAAGCGCTGAGGTGTCACGGTGTAGAAGGATCATGGAGTAAATGCTGATTCATGAAGTAATTCATGGAGTAAATGTCAGGATTCAAGGGGGCAAGGGGAATATGGGGAATGTCGGAGTTGGATCAGAGACATGGGAAAATGACATAGAAAGTTCTGTGATTTCGCAGATAATTACAGAATGCTTTTGACCCTGTCAGCAAATACACAAATTAGATCAGCAAAATCTGATCATAATGTTGTATGCTTGACAAGAAGGCTGTTCCATAGAATCTTTGCTAGCAAAGTCACAGAACCGTGAGTGTCAGAGTCCGGGAGGTTGCTGAGAGTCCGGGGGGTTGCTGAGAATGCACGAGATTGTCAAGGACAAGAAGGCCGGAGCCAAGGTGGGATGGGAGCTGTGGACAAGAGGTTGCTGAGAAGGCTGAAGCTCATGTGGGAAAACATCATGAATTCGAGAGACACCACAAGCCAGAAGCATTGCAATATTGTTTGGATTTCGACTTTCCCAAAGGCCAGAGCCAAGACAAGAACTGGAATGCAACACCGACTGGAATTGCAACAAGATGCCAAGAATGGAACTAAAGTCCCAAGACCAGAATGACCAGAGTCGCAACAGGAGGACAAGAATGGAACATGAGTCCCAACCAATTAGATCAAGAAGAACAAGAGAGAGGCGACTCTCTTTGCCTCTATCTTCCCTCTTTCGAAAAATGTGGAAAAAATTTTCCCATGATATATCCAAAACACATTAGGAACCTGGTGAGAGTGACTGAGAGGGATCAGGATAAAGCCAAGATGTCAGAGAAGGGAGAGGAGCCCAAATGATCATATCTGGAACTGAATTGCAAGAGCAAGACAACGAGACCTAAGCACTAACAGAGACAGAACCACCTCTATCTTCCCTCTTCACAAAATCTGCAGCTCTCTCAACACAATTTGTGGCTCTATGATTCAGTTCTCCACAATAGAAACATAAAATTTCTCAACGATGGTGATTCTTTTCAGCTTCAGTGATTCTTACAACATCGATTTCCATGGGACCGGAACCATTTGGATTGGGAGGCAGAAGGGACGGTGCAGGGCTGGGTTTCACAGCACTAGGAGTAAGAGGTTGGGTAGATGGAGCAAGAAGTTCAGGATTGAGAGGTGGCTGAGACTTGGTGTGAATCTTGATTTTTCTGTGAGAGATCATTTTGAACAGACACAGGTCAATTTCGATTGACTTAGCCATTAATGTGTCCAAGTTATCAGGCACATCAATGATCAAATAAGCCTGGATCGTATTGTGCAGTCCATCAAAATAAATCGACCTATAGTCATAATTGGAATGCTGGCAGTCAACTTTGATGCATTTAAACTCTGCAGCATACTTGGCGGCCTTCCCAATAGCAGTATGCCTAAGGGCACAAAGCTTTCGATGCACAGTTTCCACATAATCAACATCTCCAAAATGTTTCTCAAAGGCTCCCTTGAGGCATGCAAAGTCGTTTAGCAAGGTAGCATCGGCATGAGTGACACCCATAAACCATTTCGATGCAGTTTTCATTCTTGAGCCACACACCAAAATACGTAGTTTGGGCAAATTGGAATTGAACAGATTTGGGTAGAGCATGAAGTGAGACTTGATTTTGGCAATATAGGAGTGGACCCCAGATGGTTTACCCGTAAAAGCCGTTGGATCAGGGAACTTGGCTGTGGGATTAGAAGTTGCCACAACAGGAGCTAGAGCAGGAATGGGTGCAGAATTCTGAAGGTGCATCTGAACCGTGTTCATCAAGGTTTGTTGGTCTTGTTGTTGTGCCTGGATTGCAGCCATTAGATCCTGGTGTTGGACCATCTGTTGCTGTAATAGGTTCAGCAAGACTTCCAGATTGAGCACAGTAGAAGAGTTTTCAGGAAGAGCACCCAGCAGATTGCTGGGACCAGGAGTTGAGCTTGCAGACATATTTAGATCCGAGAAAGACATGATCTGCTCCGGAAGTTGTGTGTTGTTGGAACTGGTCAAACTGTCACAAACCTCTCAGCGCTAACGAGTGTGGGAATGGAATGGAGCGAAGCGAGAGTCATGAGATCATGGGAAGCAAGATCATGAGCCAGAAGATCACAAAATCACAAGAAATCAATTGAGGTCAGCAACCTGTGTTGACCAGTTGAAGAATCCGTCTTCACTGGTCAACTCCTTATATACATGAAAACAGGCTAAGACATGCAAGATGAAACAAGAAAACAAGAGAGATGTCAGGGCAATAGCCCCGAACCCCAAGCCATATGTAATTAAAAGATACATATAGTCACATGGGTAAGTGGTAACCTCCGGTTAACTGCTTACACACTACTGTAAAATACACACCATTGTATCACTTACAGCTCTGTGTGCTGAGCTACCCACTGAGACCTCACACTTTTTTAAGTGTATGAGGTGTGTTTTACAACACAACCCACCAAACTTATCAATCTTAACATTTTGACTCGGTAGCACCAATGGTGCCTAAACACGCCTGCAAGGGCAAGGTTGCATCTGCAGTGATGATAAAAAGAAACGAGCAGTTCATCAAGAAACCGCAATCTCCCATCATGGGAGATTCAAATCAACAGCCATTGTCAGACGACGATGAGGATCAACACGATCTGAAAACAGCAACCACCTCAGGGCTGGCCCCTGAAGGTTATAAAAACTTATGTGGAGTAAGTGCGGGGCCCAATACCCCTAGAACTCCACGTCATATCAATCTAACCCAAGCTGGGGAAGATCCCTCACCTCCTCAGGAGGTGATCGACTTGCGCAACAAACGCGTAAGCACCGAATGATCAGCCCAAAAAGCTGATTGGATAGAGTCGCAGGAAACTCCAGGGCCCCAGTCCTCCCCCATGTCCCCAAGTCAAGCCCCAAAGGCAGACAAAGGGAAACAGAGGGAAGAACCTCTGCGTCAGCTATCCAAAAAACTACTGGACTTGTTCCAGGTTCCATCCAAATGGAGGACGGAAAATGAAGACCAACTTCTTCTCAGGCTGGAAGCCCAAGAAGGCGCGAAAAAATGCCCTGAGAGCAGGATCTCCCAGAGCGCAGAAGCTCCAAAAGAACTTCTGCTGTTCACACTACCCCACGCCATGCCAGACAAGGCAAGGTCGCCAACCTCGGAGGAGGTCTCCGAGATAATGAAGAGGAGGCGAACCAAAATGAGGGAGTTCACTGAGGAAGCCTTATGGAAAAGTAAGGAAAAACCAGCGAACAGACCCCTCTATGAAAGGGAAGCACCCTCCGCAATGGCCTTGCCTAAACAAAGCAAGCATGGAGTTTTTACTCCAAGAACCCCTTCTGGAACCCCCAGAAGTGGCAATGTCAACTGGGGAGAGTCACTGCTTGCCCAACCAAACTTCCTCCTGGAAAACCAGGAATCGTGCATAATAAACATGATAAACTCGATCCAAAAAAAGATCGAGGAAACGAGCCACAATAGCATGGCTTGTCTAGAGATAACTCTAGAAAGAATGGCCAATGCAATCAATGCGTTGACTGACAAAATCAGTGAGCAGATGGACTTGCTGAAGGAGATAAACTTCTCACAAAATAGTGAGGAAACAAAAAAAATACCCCTGGGCCACAGGCCAAGACAAAACCAGAACTCGTGAAAAATTCACGAAAAGAACCACCAGTGAAAGTACACTGGAGTATCATCAGCAACTTGACAGAGACGCTAAGGAGATCCTTCTCCCAAGGATAGGAGAAGACGATGCTGAAAGAAGGCACTGCTCAGAAATTAGGAGGAGAATCGGCACATACCAAAGGTTTGGCCAAACATCCACCTTCGACAAACCTCTTGAACAGAGAGGTAACACAACCACACTCTCTCAAAACAATGAGAGAATCCAAATACAACTTCAGGCGAGTTCGCCCGAAACCAAAGAAACACTGCGAGGAAAATCCCCCCCCCCAAAGGAGAGATCTCCATTGGATAGCGACCCCATGAAGGCAGGGGAGCAAGAGGAGTACCTGGAGAAATGGTACGAAAAGGCCATAAGAATGGCTGAAGTGAGAATACTCACCCACTACCCAGAGGGAGTGAAGCCTGAAGCTCTAAAAAATGGGCTGGCTTTCCCTGACAAGAAATGGTCAGGGGAGAATGACATGGAATCGTTCTGGCAGTGGTTCACAGAACTACTGGGATTCCTCACCTCGTGAGGATGCAAAGGTCGCCAATTCAACAAAGTCCATCTGGACTGCTTGATTTGCGGATTAGGGGGACCCACATTCGACCTTGGAATAAGACACCAAGACGAAACTCTCCTCAGAGGAGACGAGGGCATGTTCCTCGAAGTTCTCAACATATTGATGAGAACCTTCATTAAAGCCTCTGCTGCATTGAACGCAACAAAGAAGTACCACAACGTTAAATACGAAGCGGAAAAAGGCCTAAAACAGTTCTACTTAGAACTGTCTAAAGCAGCATCCCAAATGGTGATGCCACCAGACCAGGTGTCCTTCAACGCCAGGTTCCTAAACTACATTCCCCTTGAATGGAAGAGGGAAATGATCGCTCATGACAGAATCTTTAAAAGCAATATCTTGTGTAGACAAGATAATCAATGGGCTGAAGATGTCTTCAGCCTACAAATCAGGATATTATACCCAAACAACCACCATGGCAACCACAAGCCACGGTAGAGCTCTCCCATAGGAAAGAAGGCTGAAGAGCCGAAATCCAGATGGAAAGAGGATACATCCTTGAAAAACTCGAGGAAAACTGACCAAAAGTCAGTCCCAATTTGCAGCAAATGTGGCAAAATAGGGCAAACGAAAGATTGCCCAAAACATAATGCAACGAGCAATGAAAAACCAAGGTGCATAGCTGCGATGGAGATCATGAACGCATCAGAAGAAGAGTCGGAAGACTCATCAGACGAAAAACCAGAGAACAACTCTGGTAACTCTGGAGCATCAAGCTTCAAAGTAGAGGACCCATACGAGGGACCTCAATACTCACCCAACTCAGAGGGTGAGGAAGTCAATGTTGGGACCATAAGGATGGGCCCAATGTCAGTCGTTGATCATGATGACATAAATTATAGAATCAAACTGGCAGTAGCGTGCCAGTTAGAAAACATGGCAGATGAGAAAGTCGCCAAAGCCTTGGTGGAAGCACCAAGAAAAGATGCCTTGGGGAAATACACAAAAGCACCCAAGAGAAAGGGAAGAAGGACCAAAAGTCCATCGAGACCCAGACCCCCTTGTTTGATGCAAAATTCCGCATCTCAAAAGATGCAGGAAAATACCCTGCAAACAGACCGCTCTCAACAAAGAGAACGCTGATGGCTCACATAAAAATAGCAGGTGTAAAAGCCTATGCGCTATTTGACAGTGGAGCCGAAATGGACGCTATATCACCGGACTTCGTCCATGTGGTGTCATATCCATACAATCCCGACCTCTGTTCCGGGCTCCCAGAACTCCGAAACTGATTCCGGAGCCCTACTTCCCTTCCATCACCTTCTCCTTGCTGACTCCCAAGAGGTTATCCCACCTCCGGCTCCGACACCACCTTTGGTCCGACTCTGGAACATCCCAGGTCCGACCTCATCCTCGACTGACACCTTCCAGACGAGTGTGCAACACCTATGCTCCCGACTCCGGACCTCCGCTCTGGAATCCTGTTTGCGTCTCCGTCTCCGGAACCTCCGGTCTTAGCTCCGACCTCGGACTTTGACCCCACCTCCGCTTATACTCATTGTATTGGTTAGCTCATTCCATTTAATTACGTTTGCCAATATTCCGGAGTTTAACTTCCGAGTTCGGACTTTCCGGACTTATGTCGGACCTTGCAACTATTGCATTGCTCCATTCAATTCCGCTATACTCCCTCATTCCTATTTGGGCTGCTGAGTCAGCTGGCCATTCCCCACTCCCATCCTCCTTCCTTCCTCCTTGGGCCTTGGCCCTTCATTCCTCCTTTGAGAAACACCATTGAGTCAAACCCTTGACCCTCGGTGTTGTTCCTCTTTCCATCTCCCTTTGTTTCCTTTCATCCTACCCTTGTTCCTTTTGATTCCGGACCCCTCCTTATATACAATGTACATAGTAACTTGTAACCTCAGTCCAAAATCGACCTGAAATGCCCCCAAGAGACTTTCCCTCTGCTAGATCTGAAATTAGGGACCCCTAGGACAACCAGCAATGGCACAGCGCTCCACCTGAGTCGCTGAGGCCAAGGTCCTTCCATGCTAAGTCTCCGATTCCACTCCGGAGTCATCTGAATCCGCCCGTTCTAACACATGGTCCACATCCCAATTCTCCAATTGGAGAACCCAGTTGTCCTTCAAATGGGGACGAAAGGAACAAGATCACAGATCCTGTTTGGAACAAACATGGACGTTGAGATCAACGGCCATGTAGAAAAACACTACTTCGATGTAATTAACATCGATAGATACAATGCCATATTCGGCTCCCCCTGGTTAAACAAAAACCAGGTAAGTTTAGACTTCCCGTCCCACGAAGTGAGAATGGTGAACAAGGGCAACATAGATACCCTTGGAGTCAGTGAAGACCGTGTGACGAGATCACACAGATGGAAAACTCAAGCAAGAGCTCAAGAACAACCAAAAAAGAAGCCCCCCTGACAGGGAGGCGGGATTAAAACACACCTCAGGGTAATCAAAAGAAAGTACCCTGAAGATTGGCCCAATCCTAGTCCAGAAGGACTAGAACTTCCAGATGTACCGCATCTGGAAGGTCTCTCCATGAACAACCCCGAGTTTGAAATACTCAGGGAGTGGTGGAGAGAGAAATTTGAAACTGTAATGGTGCCAGCGCCATTAGAAATGCCTCCCTTGAGGGAGGTGAACCATTGAATCCTGTTAAAGGATCCGAACAAGAAATTTTGGGAAAACACCCCGAGATGTCCTGCAGCACTGCAGGAAGCACTAGCGACCAAAATAGATTGCTATGTAAAAGCAGGATGGTGGTATCCC